GGTCCCGATCTCGATCAAGATCAAAGAGGTAAAGTGCTAATTTGCTTTTGATTTCAGAACTCTTCTAGTATTTAGTACTTCCATATTTTAGCTAATTCTATTGTAGAATATTCCTGTCTTCTTTGAATACATCTAGTTATCTCTTTGGTCAAGGGCAGGGGGGAATGAACATTCTTACCTAGTAGTGACTGAGGTCACTTTTGGGGCATAGATCAATGTAGGAGTGTTGGACCAGCCTTAGCAACTGTCTAAGGAAACTCTGGTCATGGTGTTATGCTATTGGTAAAGAGGGTATAACCTTTTTGCGGGTTCCCTCTGTTGGAGAAGTGAATGTACTATGCCATGGAAATTGCTTTTTGGGCTGATGTAGTAGAGTTAATCTTTGTTGTGTTGATTTTATCATATTCTCTGTTCCTTTCATTCCATATAGATAAACTGATCAAAGTGATTTGCACTTGTTTGTCTCTTGCATCCTTGGTTGTTGATATAAATGGTAGTAATGATGTTTGTTTTCAGTAAAAGGATCAGTGGCTTCGACATGGCTCCTCCTGCTTCTGCAATGTTACCTGGTGCTCCCACTGTTACAGGTAATTATTTATTCTTTCATTTTTACCAATATAATATCTTGATAACTGGCATCTTTTTTTGTTTTTTCCCCCTTCTTTTGGACGTAGTGTGGAAAGTTCTTATCAAAATGCATGGTTTCATTTCGGTAAGTGTCCTTGGTTCTTTGATTTTGCACCAAGACCAATATAGACTTCTCGTCCCTAGATCAACTATTAGTTCCAATTTAATTGTTTACTTAGTGAAATCATTCTGAAACTGAGAGTGTTTCTGCTTTCTTGTTGTCTTTGGTGTTGTTTGTTTTTTTTGTATGTCATATCTTATGTTCTAAGAAGGCAATAATGGGCTAGTAGGCCCACTGTGCTGACAATGGGCGTGAGCCGACCTCTGTAGCTTTTATGTACAAGGAAGAAAATAAAGGTCTCTTTCATCTTCAACCAGGAATTTCCTGTTTGGTAGCTTTTCAAGTTTTTTATTTGATACTTATGTCAAATATTTTGTGGTACCAACTATTTTTATAACAAGGGAGTTCTTTTTTCATACGCCTCAGTTACCACTGGAGAAATAGCTAATGTGTTAAGACGGTCCTTACCATCAAAGTATAATTTCCTCATTTTTATTCGTTTGAGTTGTACAGGTCAGCAGATGCTAGGGACTCCTACTCCTATTTCTGGAATATTTCCAAATATCTTTCCTTTGGCTACTGGACAGGTATTCTGCAACTATCTAATATTCATTCACATTAGAACTTTTGAATTAATATTTTAATTCTTTTTGCTTGTTTATGGCAGTTGGGAGCTCTTTCTGTTATGCCAGTTCAGGCGATGACTCAACAGGTCTCTCCTATCACTGGTCTAGAATTTTAATGTTGTCCCTCCATCTCAAATTGAAGTTTGGACTTAGGAATTGGATATACCAAAGTGGTTGCTACTAATTAAAAAAAAAGAAGATCAATTTCTCATAAACTTTCAATTTGTTGTTAGGTATTTTGACTAGAAAAGTTCTATGGCATCATCCTCTATTATTAAAACTCTCATCCATTTGCAGATTTATTTATATATGTTGTTTTCACTACTTTTATACCCCCCCAAACCCCCCACAAATAAAGTTTCCTAGACTCCAAGACTATTTATTGTGTAATTTCATGTGAAACAGAAACAATGCCTCGACCCTAGAATTGTTATCCAAAAAATTTATAGAAATATGCCTTAAAAGAAGGTAAAAGTTAGATTGTGTTGACGCTTATAAAGCAACTTAGGAAGTCCTTTTTTTGTTTGGACTGAGGGAATATTAGAATTTTGTGAAACTAAACTATGGAATTCAATTTGAGCTTACAAGTGAGCTTAATGGTTTATGCCCTCCCTTTGATTTTTAATTTTTAATTTTTTAAATTGTGTAAAATAGGCTACTAGACATGCACGGCGAGTTTATGTTGGTGGACTCCCTCCAAGTGCTAATGAACAGGTAATTTGCCCCACTTGTTGATCATTTGTTTTTTATTTTGTTATATTTTAATTTTTTTTTTTTAAACTTCTGACAATGATTCGGTTGCTTGATATAGTTAAGTGGAATTTTATTTTATAAATTTTCATGCAGTCAGTGGCCACTTTCTTTAACCACGTAATGTCTGCAATTGGTGGAAACACTGCTGGTCCAGGTTTGTTGAACACTATATTATAATTTGTTCTATACATTTAATTAGAACTGCTTAATACTCATTTTGTGATGTATAGGTGACGCTGTTGTCAATGTTTACATAAATCACGAGAAGAAATTTGCCTTTGTTGAGATGAGATCAGTTGAGGAGGCCAGCAATGCAATGGCCTTAGATGGCATTATACTTGAGGTACTGAACATTTCATGCTCCTGATCTCACGTGGGTCATTATATTTTCTTTGAGCTTTCTGGATGCAGATATTGGGGACACACACAATTCAGTACTGTTACACATGCCTTTTTTTTCCTGCAGGGAACACCAGTTAAGGTCAGAAGACCAACTGATTATAATCCATCTCTTGCTGCTGCTCTTGGTCCAAGCCAACCATGTCCAAACCTGAATCTTGCCGCCGTTGGGTTAAGTCCAGGATCTACTGGTGGTCTTGAGGGTCCTGACCGTATATTTGTGGGTGGTCTCCCCTATTATTTCACTGAGGCACAGATCCGGGAGCTGCTGGAGTCTTTTGGGACACTTCGGGGTTTTAATCTTGTGAAGGATAGGGAAACTGGAAATTCAAAAGGCTATGCCTTTTGTGTCTACCAAGATGTTTCAGTTACTGATATTGCTTGTGCAGCTCTTAATGGGATTAAGATGGGTGATAAAACTTTAACTGTTAGGCGTGCCAGCCAGGGTTCATTGCAGCCTAAACCAGAGCAAGAAAGCATTTTAATGCATGCACATCAGCAAATAGCTTTGCAGGTAGATAATATTTCCTTTTGTTGTGCCCCAGATATCTTTATGTCTATAGCAAATGTTTTCTCAAGTGGTTGAATATATGCTCCCTTGAACAAAAAATGGAAACTGACTTGTGTCTGCAGAGGTTCATGTTACAACCTGGTGGACTGCCCACAAAGGTGTTATGCCTAACCAATGTAGTTAGTGCGGAAGAGCTCAGAAATGATGAAGAGTATGAGGATATTGTGGAGGATATGAGAACTGAATGTGGGAAGTTTGGTAAATACATTCCTCTTCAAACTCTGGTGCATATGAGATTTTTCATTTTCCTTTCCTAATTGACTATCAAACACTATTGTGACAATCCCTTCCCCCACCATGTTGAATCTACCTTACCTTTTCCTGGACTAAACTCTAAAGTTCTTCCTGCTAAATCAGCTTATTTCTGGATTGAATATGCATTTTTCAGATTTCATTATGCAGTTTATTCTGCTTAATCTTGAAATAAGGATCTCATTTTCATTTCCTTTCTTTGCACATTTATGCTGTAGGTGCTTTAGTTAATGTGGTAATCCCTCGCCCAAATCCTAATGGTGAGCCTATGCCTGGAGTGGGAAAGGTTAGTAAAAACTGTGTTGGTGCGATGCTTCCTACCTAAACGTGATACTTGACATGTTGAATTATTGGGGTCTATTTTTAGTTTGCTTGATTATTAGGGCGGTACTGACTGATCGGTAACTCCTCTCTCCTGTTAATAAAATTATTATTTGCTCTCAGCAGCGGTTCATGATTTTCTTCATTTAACTTGATGAAATTGTAAAGAAATGTGATGTACACCCAATGTCAGAAGTTAAAACTGTTGATTGATGCCCAAAAAGTGGGTGGCCAAGTGGGTATAGCATGATTCTCGTACTTAAGTCAGAGCTCAATTCTTGTCAACACCCTTTTGGTCGAGCCTGTCACACTGCGTCTTCCTAGTGTGGTTTACCTCTCCTATGTAGTTTGCGGGTTATTATACAAGAGTTTCCCTCATCACCCAAAAAAAAACTGCTGATTGATATTCTATTTTCTACAGGTGTTTTTGGAATATGCTGATATTGAGAGTTCTACGAAAGCTCAAGCAGGATTACATGGAAGAAAATTTGGTGGAAATCCAGTGGTTGCAGCCTTCTATCCTGAGAACAAATTCTCTCAGGGGGACTACGAGGGCTAGTCATGTCACTCTTACCCGTCTCTTTTCTTCCACCTCCCACCCCGGATTAGATTGTTGTGTACCTTAAACAAATAGATTTTCTAATTTGAACTTAGATGCCCTTCGACTATTTGTATTTGGCATTTTTGACTCATCGTCATTTGTATATACTCTTTACTCTATCCCCTTAAAATTATAGACTTAAATGAATTTTTAGTATATTCAAAATAGTTTTTGATTTATATGTAAATATTTTTTTAATTAAATTTCACAAATAATAATTAATACGTAATTATAATTATGATTTATATGTAAATATTTTTTTAATTAAATTTCACAAATAATAATTAATACGTAATTATAATTAATCTATAATTTGTAAAATAAATTGTTGATATTGAGGTTTTACACTTGCATTGAATACATGCTTTTGTTGTTGATGAATTAAAATTTGCATCAACTTTGGCCCTGACTTATGATGAATTGTAATAAGATATATCAATCTGAGTCTATTCACTAGTTTTTGTTTTTTTTTCTGTTAATTTAACGATCATTTATATTGGCCATCGCATAAGCCATTAAACATTAAACACTACTATCAAGAAACAAATTTCAAAAAAAAATTCTTATTATAAACAAGCCAATATTTTGTGTGAAAGGTTGGGTAAAAAAGAGTTAATTAAATAAATAAAAAACAAACAAAATATAAATACAACAATATACTTAAATTAATTAAAATTATTACAATTATTTTTAAAGAGATAAAATTATCAAAATCAAAATAATTATATATATATATATAAAGATAAATTTATCAAAATTAACCATTGCCTTTCACTCTTTCAGTAGCTCCCTCTTACTTTGGCTGTTTGGCGTGATCTTTATCTTTTAACTTATAACTTATTCCCATCGGAGTGTCGGACTAAAACCTCTCTCTCCAATGGCATCTTCTCTTTCTCCCCCGGAGGTCCCCATGGAGCTTCACGCAGTCAACCGTGAGAAGCTCCTCAATTCTCTACGAGCGCATCTCTCGTCATCCTCTCGTCCCTCTCAAGGCTTCGTCCTCCTCGAGGTAGAATGGAATTTCTCTCTCTGCTTCACATCAGTTTCATTACTATTTTCCTTTATTTATTTATTTATTTATTTATTTTTATTATTATTTGTTTTTACGATCATGTGTTTAGGGAGGCAAGGAGCAAACTCGATACTGCACTGATCATGAAGAACTGTTCAGGTACTTGATTATCCTATCCTCTCTATACAAAAAGGAAAAAAAAAAAATTTTGATATGCATTTGCAGTTCTGCACTTAGGTTCTAATCTTTTAGTTGTTCAAACACTGGTGTTGCAGTTGGGTATTTGATAACAGACTTTGCTGTTGGAATTAATTGACAAGGACTGAATTTCAATTGGGACTTGGGAGGAAGTGCTTTGGTTGTATTAATTTTGAAATTGTGATGAATTGCCAAGTATTTCCGTTTCTTAGTGAATCCATGTTGTTAATCATAACTTTTACAGTTTTACCACCCCCCTCTCTCTTGTTATGAACTTTAAGAGTTACGTTTATTGTTTGAATGAGCGAGTGTGCACTATTCTGGCCTGGCTTTATTAATTTCCGTTGGTAATTATATCTTTTGTGTCTAATGTGAGGTCGGCTTCCATTTTACTGTTATAGTTCTCCATCTTGATTGATCTAATTCACTGATTGATGGCTTATGTGTAGACAGGAGAGCTATTTTGCCTACCTGTTTGGAGTAAAAGAGCCTGGGTTCTATGGAGCTATTGTAAGCTTATTATTCTTGAAAATGTAGATTTTTTTTTCCTGAATAATCAATTACCTATCAGTTTGTGCATAATGCTCAAACAAGTTTTTCAACTCCCAACCCCCAGAATATTGTAAAAAAGAGGTTTATTATGATGTACATCATATTAGGTTAACTGAAAAATGTGCAGTTGCTGCTACAATTCCTAATATGCATGAAATCGGCAAATCTTAAATTCCAAATTTACAAAATTACAACAGAAGATTTTGAAAGATTGGAAAGAATAATCTTTTGGACAAATTAAATTTTCACCCTACTACATATAAGGACAGTCGGTATTTTCTTTCAAAATGGAGACCACTTATACGTGTTTGATTTTCTTTCTCTCTGTCTTCAGACAACAGACCAGATTAATTCTTTAAAAAGTGATTTGTTTCTTTGAATAATGGTGATGCCATCAACATGTATGTGTTCTTCAAACTTTTGGCTTCTTAGAACTTAGAAATCAACCTTGATTTTATTTCTTTGCACAAGGATGTAGCGAGTGGGGAATCAGTGCTCTTTGCTCCAAGATTACCAGCTGCTTATGCAGTTTGGTTGGGAGAAATAAAGCCTCTATCCTACTTCAAGGTAATTGCCCCTCTTAAAGTTGTCTATTTATTGTCCTGTTGCAATGATCATAAACCAATTAACTTATTTACTGCTTGTTTGCAGGAAATATATAAGGTTAACAAGGTCTTCTATACAGACGAGATTGTAAATGTTTTGCCGGATCTCTACAAAGGAATGGGAAATCCCTTGTTATTTCTTCTGCATGGGCTCAACACTGACAGCAATAATTTCTCCAAACCAGCAGAATTTCAGGTTCCTATCTCATTTTTGTTCTGGCTTGAATTATTTGCCAGTGGTTTGAAACATAGGATACTTTTTCCATCATTGCCATTGTAGTATTACCGTCGTGGCAACAATTAAACTGTGCAGACATGTTACCATCTGTGTGTTCAAACAAAATGTATGAAGGTGAAAGGCATGGTTTCAGCAACAAGAAAAGCCCTACATATTTTGGATTATATCTTCATGAAAAATTGCACTTTTGGGAAGCTACTATCAAATCATTTTGCTATAAGGCTTTTATTTATTTATTTTTGTTTGGAATAGAATCTAATGTCCATTTATCCAACCAAAATACTGGCACAACTGTACATATACTGAGTCATACTACAATTACTATCAAAATAGTCAACCTGAAAAGACTTCTGCTGCCCTGCACATCCTGAAGGCAGTGTCCATACTGAAAAATAGACAAGCAGTGTATGATTGTCCTTGTAAACTTGTAAATTTTTACCATTCTACTATCTCCATTTAAAGAGATTACTAGTAAATGTAGTTATGATATATTCATCATATGTTTGTAACAATGCACTATCGTACTTGGTCAGCAATCATCTTTATAGCTTTCTAGTTGTAATAGTTCGACTATTTTTCCTCCTCCTGTGATCATGGGAGGCTACAGTCTACATGGTAGTGTTGTCTGAAACATCTTCTTTGGGTGATGCATGGATATTAAATTCCACCCAACTAGAAAACCATTGTTTTGTTCTTTTTTTTTAATTGATTTTTTAAAAATTGTTCAGGGCATTGAAAACTTTGAGAGAGATTTAAATACATTACATCCTATTTTGGCTGAATGCCGTGTAATAAAGTCAGATTTGGAGCTTGCTCTCATCCAATTTGCCAATGATATAAGCTCTGAAGCTCATATTGAGGTTAAACTTCTCCTACTATGTAAAATAGTTATACTGATTTTAGCTATGGTACTATATTATTATTATGTTTGCTTCAAATAAATTAACATAATTTTGGTTGCATTTGCATTTTTCTTGTAGGTTATGAGAAAAATACGAGTGGGTATGAAAGAGTATCAGTTAGAGAGCATGTTTCTTCACCATACCTATATGTTTGGTGGCTGTAGGCATTGTTCATACACATGTATATGTGCTACTGGTGAAAATAGGTGAGTTTGCTTCTCAGCTAGCATTTATACCATCACCTCTGAGAAAGAAATTGTGGATGGAAGGTAAATTTAGAAATTACTGTTTACACACAACCTACAAGTTTGAGGTCTATTGTAAAAATTAACTTTCATCTATTCAATGGCATTTTGCAGTTCTGTTCTCCATTATGGTCATGCAGCTGCTCCAAATGACAGGGTATGCTGACTTCTTGTTTTCCTGCTAATGCAAAATGCTTAAGAAATTATGGAGTTCTATATTTTATTTATTTGTTTATTTTCTTATCAATAGCAGTTGGAGGCTGTCTTGTTTATTTTTGACTGTTTGAATGAGTTTAATTAAGACAGTGATATATGTGTGTGTGCTTTTATTTTATTTTTAATTTGTATTGTTTGTGTGTGTATATGGGCACTCATGAGTACACTACTTTGGGGTAGGGATTCTTGTCGGAGATTTTTTATTTTTATGTAGTCAACCATAGGGACAGTTTAGTTTACTAAGGTTCTAATATATACATATGTTACTGCTAAAAGTGAACTGCGAAACATTAGAAGCTAGGAAGTTCACCCAATAGGAGTAGAGTGTGATGTAAATGGAAGTCCACATGGGAATTACTGATGCACACATGGTTCTGTTCTATAGTTTACCACTAATAGTTGATGTTTTCCTGTGTTGTCCAGGAATTATTATTAGCCCTCTGTTTTTCACCAATTTTTGAATTATCGCTATTTGTTACGTAATATTATTTTTTATTTATTAAAAAAAAAAAAAAAAAAAAAAAAAAAAAACACAACAACAACAACAACAACAACAATACAACAACACCAACACCAACAAACAAACATAGTTTTTACAATTTTATGCATACCTTTTTATTTGTTGTTTCTGCAGACATTTCACGATGGAGATATGGCACTGCTTGATATGGGAGCTGAGTACCACTTTTATGCTTCAGATATAACTTGTTCCTTTCCTGTGAGTGCATTTGTTTAGTCAGATTAATGGGAACTCTTGCGATTTCTTACTTTTCATGCAATTCTTTGGATCATATATTATTGTCCACACATATTTTCTCATGAGGTGATTCTATTGGACATGCAGGTGAATGGGAAATTTACTTCTGATCAGTCTCTCATATATAATGTGAGTGATCTCTTTGTTAAGCAATAATAATATCCTTAATGCCATAATCTCTTGGAATGTGCAAAGTGTTTTGCATACATGTATTTGCAATTATTGGGGTTTCTATTTAGCATATTTCTTTCATCTTTAACATTTGAAAAAACTCAAAACTTACTTTGTTATAAGCAGTTTAAAGTATTTGAGGGTTTAACCATGTGTGTACTGTCCATTCTATGAGAAGGGCAATACAGTTCTTCCACTGGGTGAATTTGTGTAGGTCCATTTGAATCGCAAAAACTTAATTGGCCAAAATTCTGGAATTTCTTTTTACACATGTCCATTTTGCTGAAGCATCATTTTAAAAACTCCATCGCTGTGGGCAAGGAATTGCATAGTACAGTAGAATATTGTGTTAGCCAACTATCAATCTTCAGTATAGAACATAATTGGTTTGGAAACATACTATATAGCTACTGGGGTAGGGGAGAGGAGCGTGGTGGCAACTGGTTTGACCACTTTCCTTTACTTTCACATTTCTAGATTGGTGATTTAGGTCTTTCCAGTTTCCACTCTTTCACATGAACCTTCCCCAGTCAATCTTATTAACCACTTCAATCCCCAGCCAAGTTGCAAAGGATGAAGGTCTCTGTGGCCCACTGCAGGCTGCATGGTAAACTTTGTCCAGAATCGTAAAGAGTTTATCTGCTTTGAAGAGATGCAAGACTGATATATCTTATTGCCTTTCCATCGGCTTTACTTTTCCAGGCAGTCCTTGATGCTCATGATGCTGTTATATCTACTTTGAAACCTGGAATTAACTGGGTTGATATGCACAAGTAAGACTTGAAAATCAAAATTTTGATTGAATTAACTTGCAAAGTTTTGATTCAGAGATCTAGTACCATTTTAGCTTTCCCCTTAATTTGCAGATTAGCAGAAAAAGTAACATTAGAGTCATTGAAGAAAGGAAACCTAATAATGGGGTATATTCTTTTTCCACTACATACAACTGTCATTATAGTTGGAGAATGTCATTTGTTATAATAGGGTTATACTGCTTTGTGTTTTTACTCCCAGTGATGTTGAGAACATGATGGCTGAGAGACTGGGTGCTGTTTTTATGCCTCATGGTCTGGGGCACTTCCTCGGCATTGATACTCATGATGTTGGGGGTTACTTGAAGGTTACGTGTCTTCTCTGCAAATTTTACTGATTAGGCAAATTGCAATTTACCAGAACATTTTGCTTCAAGTGCGTGATAATATTCTTATTTGAAATACTATGAAGCAAATAAGTTTACCTCAATTTCAGGGAGCAGAGAGACCCAACGAACCAGGGTTGAGCTCTTTGCGTACAAGCAGAGAACTGTTGGAGGGAATGGTGTGTACATGCATTCAAACCTACTGCTTTGATATTTTCATTGACATATTTACTTTTTTTGGTAGTTTATTGTTTGCCTATATATCACAGAATCCCATGTTTTCTCCTACCCAAAATGAAGAAATAAACAAATTTTGAAGAGATCACCTAACAAGAATAGTAAAGTACTTAAGATTCCCTTCAGTCTCCTGCATTGGTTTTATCCTTCTCTCATTCCATTTTTCTGAACAATCTGATTAAATTCTAAAACTGAGTTAGATCTAGACCAAAGCATGGAGACACCTATCTTCTGTGCGCTCATGCCTTCCACGATAGTTAACTGCATAACAACACTTCTAACCTGCTCATATTGAGTTGAGAGTAAACATAAAGCATTGCTGCTGTTGCAGGTGATAACGGTGGAGCCTGGATGTTACTTCATTGACGCATTACTAGTTCCCGCAATGGAAAACACAAAAACATCTAAATTCTTCAATCATGAGGAGATCCGCAGATTCAGAGGTTCTGGCGGTGTCAGAATTGAGAGTGATGTGGCAAGTGTTTACTATTCGACTCTTGAATTCTTGAATTTTGATTTCGACTCTTATACTACTATGCTTTGCTTCAATTGATTGTGGCGCCACAACTCACACATCTCTACTTGTGTATGTATTCTCCCTTCTCCATATCTACAGCGGATCACTTCGGATGGTTGCATAAACATGACTAAATGCCCTCGAAAGATTGAAGACATTGAGGCCGTGATGGTGGGTGCTCCCTGGACTATCAAAAAGACCAGTGTTGGCTGTGTAAATGGAGGGATTTAACTTTCAGAATGGGCATCAAAACAAATAGAGAAATGACAAATTAAAAAGATAAATTGCACATTTTTTTCTCTCTGAATCCCTTTTTTTTTCTTCTTCTGATAATGATTTGGTCGGGTGATATAGTTAAGTAGAATTTTGTTTTATCAATTTTCATGCATTCAGTAGCCACTTTCTTTGACCATGTAATGTCTGGAGTTTGTTGAATACTTCTTCCACAGCTAGCTATCACTTGATGCAGCAACAATGGCAGACCTCTTAATCATGGTTGCAAAAAAGAAGAAGTTTGACATGCCAAGTGTGCTTAAACACAATTTAATGTAAATACAACAGAAGATATAGTACTTTGCAAACAGGAAGAGAACTGGATAAACGTTAGAAATTTGGGATTATTGCTAGCGATGTTAGCTACTAAGCAGGTTCCACCATAAATAAAAAGTATATTTTTAATATATTAAAAAATACATTATTTGTGTACATAAAGTACATTATTTGAGTATTGAAGTATATTATTTTGTATATTATCAAATAATGTACATTCAATATAGAAATAATGCATTTTTAATATATTAAAAATGTATTCTGTATTCATGATTTCCAAAAAAATTTATCGGTAAACGTGAACTTGGGTCTGAGCCTAAAATATAATTTGCCATGAGCATATAAGTAGTTTTTTTTTTTTTTTTTTTTTTTTTTGGTGGCTCAAACATGAGCTTATTAGGAATAGGGGTAAACAATTCGGTTCAGTTTTCTCAAATTGTACGATCGGTAATATATCAAACAACTGAACATAACCGAATACTGTTTAGTTTTAATAATAATACGGAGTAATAATCAACAACAACAAAGTAGTTGTTAGGAATATAGCGGAATAATGCGGAAGCGAAGAATCGAAAATTGAGAATTATAGAAGTTAAATAATAGGGGAGAATATAATAAATGACAAAATAAATTAATAAAGTGGGAAAATATAAATATATATATATTAATCTCTTATAAAGAGAAAACAAAGGAATATATATATACTCTACGTATGATAAAGAAGAAAGAATGAATGAATTGATGTTGCATGAATTACAAAAGTTAAACAACTATTTATACAATTAAAAGTGAGAGAGCTATGCGGCATTTGCGTGAAGCTCCGCAACAATCGGTGATGGCATGCAATATGACGTGCAAGAAGTGAAGACATGCATAGCGACGTGGATGGAAGTGGTCTCCACAGGTTTGAGCCACAAAATTTATTATTTTCTAACAATCTCCACCTTGGATCAAATCCATTGTGGAAATTAACAACTGGAACAGCCGACTAAGCTCAAGCATTGCTTGAACTTAATAATAGGTAGAGGCTTGGTGAGCATATCTGCTGGATTCTCCAATGTATGAATCTTCTGAACGACTATATCTCCCGCAGCTACAACATCTCGAATAAAATGATATCTGACATCAATGTGTTTGGTTTTGGCATGATAGGTATCATTCTTGGTGAAATGAATAGCACTTTGACTATCAGAGAACACAATAGTGTGACCTTGTGAAACACCAAGTTCCATAACCAAACCTCGTAGCCAAGTAGCTTCTTTGACACCCTCTGTGGCTGCAATATATTCCGCCTCAGTCGTAGATAACGCAGCAATAGACTGAAGCGTAGCTTTCCAACTGATAGCACAATTACAAAGAGTGAAAATATAACTGGAAAGCGATCGACGTCTGTCAAGATCACCACCATAATCAGAATCTACAAAGCCCACAATATCAGTAGATGCAGAAGAATTTCGATCAAAAACCAAGCCCAAAGACGAAGTGCCCTTTAGGTACCGTAGAATCCATTTAACGGCGTTCCAATGTTCCTTACCAGGGTTATGCATGTAACGACTCACAACACTTACAGCATGAGCCAAATCAGGTCTAGTGCATACCATAGCATACATAAGACTTCCAACAGCACTAGAGTAAGGAACTTTTGACATATAAGCCACATCAACATCAGACTTAGGGCATGAACCAGAGGATACCTTAAAATGTGCACCAAGTGGAGTAGACACAGGTTTACAAGTGGACATATTGAATCGATCAAGCACCTTCTCAACATACTTTTTCTGGGATAGATAAAGTTTACCCGCTTGACGATCCCTGTGTATCTCCATGCCAAGAATCTTCTTTGCTGCACCGAGGTCTTTCATCTCAAACTCATTGCTTAGTTGAGACTTCAACTCATCAACCAGAGACATATCAGGGGAAGCAATGAGCATATCATCAACATAAAGAAGCAAATAGACAAAAGACCCTTTAGAAAATTCTTTAAAATAGACACAACTATCATACTGGCTTCTTGAGAATCCTTGCCCCAACATACACGCATCAAACCGCTTATACCATTGCCTTGGAGCTTGCTTTAGCCCATAAAGAGATTTTTGTAGACGGCAGACACAATGTTCCTTCCCAGGAACTTCAAATCCTTCAGGTTGGTACATGTAAAGTTCTTCATCAAGCTCTCCATGTAGGAAAGCAGTCTTTACATCAAGTTGCTCCAACTCCAAATCAAAAAGAGCAACAAAAGCAAGTAGAACACGTATAGAAGTATGACGAACAACTGGAGAAAAAATCTCGTTAAAGTCAATACCTTCACGTTGATCAAAACCTCGAACAACTAACCGTGCCTTCCACCGTGCTTTCTCAACCCCAGGAATGCCTTCTTTCTTTTTGTAAATCCACTTACAGCTCAATGGGCGTTTACCTTTCGGCAACTCTACCAGCTCCCAAGTCTCATTCTTATGGAGACTTTCCATCTCTTCTTGCATAGCAACCAACCACTTGGACGAGTTGGCACAGGAAATAGCTTCAGAATAGCAGGATGGATCACCATCAACCTCCTGTGCAACTGAAAGAGCATAAGCAACCAAGTGGGTTTCATCGTCACTAGCGTACCTAGCAGGTTTTTTAATTGTCCTCCTAGGCCGATCTTGGGCAATAGAGTACTCTCGCTGTGGCTCGACGAGAGGTGCGGTACTTGTAGATGCATCATCTTTAGTATTACCATTAGTGGTAGTAATACTATCATTAGGCCTGAAATCAAACTCCACCTTATCACCAGTACTCTGCGTCTCATCTGTACTGGAATCTTTTTCAGAAGAAAGTAGTGCATTTTCGTCAAAAGTGATATCTCGACTCAGAATGATTTTATGAGAATCAGGAGACCATAGACGATACCCTTTTGACTCAGAAGCATAACCAAGGAAAATGCATTTGACAGCTCTCGGGTTTAATTTACCCGTACTGGAATGAGCATAAGCAGGACATCCAAAAACTCTTAAGATAGAGTAGTCAACAGGATTACCTGACCAAACTTCTTCTGGAATTTTGAAATCAAGGGATGAGTGTGGAGATCTATTTACCAAATAGCAAGCAGTAGAAACGGCCTCGGCCCAAAAATCACGCCGTTTCCATAACCCAGCATTAGAGAGCATACAACGAGCTCTTTCCAATAGAGTCCTGTTCAAACGTTCGGCAACACCATTCTGCTGGGGTTTACCAGGCAAGGTCTTGTGCCTGGCGATTCCATTTGCTGCACAAAAGTCATTGAAATCTGACTCACAGAACTCCAAGCCATTGTCTGTCCTGAGCTTCTTGACCTTTTTACCTGTCTGAGTCTCAACGAGTATTTTCCACGTCTTGAAAATAGAAAATGCCTGATTTTTATGTTTCAGGAAATAGACCCAGACTTTACGAGAAAAGTCATCAATAATAGACATAAAATATCTACAGCCTCCCATAGACTGGAATTTAGTCGGTCCCCATAAATCGGAATGTATATATTCCAATACATCTTTGGTACGATGTGTAGCAGTAGAGAAACTAACCCTCTTTTGTTTCCCAAAAACACAATGCTCACAAAATTGTAATTTACCCGTACCTGAACCACCAAGGAAGCCTTTCTTGCTCAGGAGATGCATGCCTTTCTCACTCATATGTCCCAGACGCATATGCCATAATTGAGTGAGATCCGCATCAGACATCGATGAGGATACCGCTACTGAACCTGTCACAGTACTGCCATGCAACACGTACAAGCTTCCAGAACGAGAAGCTTTCATGAGAACAAGAGAGCCTTTTATGATTTTCAGAACTCCACCTTCAGCTATGTACTTGCACCCCAGAGATTCCAAGGTGCCCAAGGATATCAGATTGCGTTTCAAATCAGGAATATACCGAACATTGGTAAGAGTCCTGACAACATTATCATGAGTTTTAATCTGAACACTTCCAATTCCACTAACCTTGCATTGGGTATCATTACCCATCAAGACAACTCCACCATCAACCGGTTCTAGAGAGACGAACCAGTCTTTGTGAGGACACATGTGGAATGTACAACCAGAGTCCAGAATCCACTCAGTTTTACTCCGTTTGTCACCGGAGCTAACAGATAACATAACATCACCTTCTGAATCACTTTCAACAACACTAGCTTCAGCAGACTTCTTTTCTCTCTCTTGTTTGTTTTTCAACTTGAAGCATTCAGTCACATCATGACCCTGCTTCTTGCAGTACTTACAGGATTTGTTGGACTTACGTCCTTTGGACTTGGATCTAGATTTTTTATTGCTACTCTCTGTTTCAAGTGAACGACCCCTTACAATTAAGCCTTCTCCTTTGTCCTCAGACTTAATTTCAAAATCAAACTTTTCTTTGGACAATAGGTTTGACTTAACAGTGTCGAAAGTAAGGGTGTTACTACTATTACCATACAGCATAATTTCTTTGAAATGCATGTATGATTTAGGGAGAGAGACAAGCAATAAAACAGCACGATCCTCATCTTCAATTACGACATCAATATTCTCCAAGTCCAATAAAATAGAATTAAATTCATCCAAATGAGATTTAATCGAAGTACCTTCCGTCATGCGGATTGTGTATAGACGCTCCTTCAGGCGTAGCTTGTTTGCCATAGTTTTGGCCATGTAAAGCGTATCCAGCTTGGACCATAATTCTGACGCAGTCGTCTCACTTAATACCTCACGTATAACCTCTTTAGACAGGCACAAAAGGATGGTTGAACGAGCCTTGTCATCCAAATCTTCCCAAGTTTCATCTGTCATTGCAGCCGGTTTCTTCTTCTTCCCAGCTAGCGCTTTCTTCAAACCGTTCTGGGTTA